ATTTTTTAAGTATAAGCAGCATCCTGAATCCCATGTATCTATATATACCCAAAAGGTTTTAACTTGAATTCAGACCTTTTATTTTAGTTTAATTTGATCACATGACAAGAGTTTTTAGATCTTTATGAACCCAAATAACTACATTGACCAAAATGATTGTTTTGGCATTATATAGATTCAGCCTTTCCTTGAGGATTTAGCATGAGACTTTCAGAACTTTTGAGGATGTGAAACCTCAGACAATATGTGACTGCCAAACCATACTGTGCTGTTATTGATCCCATAATCCCCATCTTCTACAGGACCGTTAGGGACCTCCATAACACTCTGGCTGGGCAGCAACCCTCAGCCATCAGCAGTTGAATGGTTAAAATTCACTTACTACGCTGTGGGCTGTCCCTGTCGTTATGAGCCTGTCTTAGTCAGCATGACATCCATGAGGAAACCCTAACTGCTATGTGTAAACACTGAATGTTCATCAGTGGATCCCTTCATGGATTATACAAATGCGTAACCACTATGCTGTACACCTGACACTAATGTAAGATAATAGTGAATGTCAACTGTCTTGAAAAATCAAAAAAGGAAGGAAAAAGGTGAAGAGGAATGAGAAGTTCAGACTTCCAGGCTATAAAACAAATAAGTCACAGGGATGCAGTGTACAGCATACAGAATATGGTCAATTATATGGTGATAGCACTATACTGTGTCACGTGGTCTCTGGCCTTATCATGGCAATCACCTCTCTAGGTATGTAAATGTTGAATAACTGTGGTGTGCACTTGAAACTAATACAGTATTATATGTTAGCTAGATTTTAATAAAAATCTTTAAAAAAAAACAAACAAACCCTGAATGTTTAAAATCTTCAAAGGGGCAAATCATTTGATTAATTTAATATCTAGAGCAAAAGTTACTGTGAAAGCATCTGAGAAGCTTGACTTTGTAAACTCATTTATTTCTGTTGTAATGGCATTGGGAAACAAAGATGAGGGTATCAAGGATAGTTGTTATTCTACATCAGGAGAGTGGTCGTCATGTCTTATTTCTCAATAGAAAGTAGAAATGGTTAGATATTAGACACAGTAGAGGATAGAGATAGTTTCTCTTCTGACATTTCTATTTTGGATTCAGGATAGAGAAAAGCAGAAGCCAAATGGGGTAGTCATAGTCCCCAAGAGGAGGTGCTCGACAGCAGAGTGCAAGCTAAGGGCCAACATAAGCGAAA